AGAGAGAGAGAGAGAGGTTCATATGTGGATAAACATCGATTATGTAGATGTAGGAACCATTAAGAATTTAGGAATAAAAATAATTAATTAATAATCTTTATAAGGGTAAATATGTAAATTAACATGTTTTAATTAAAATAATATATCTAATTAGTATTGAAAATCCCTATAATCATGGTTCATTCCTTAAATGAAGTTTGTCTTTTTCTTTAAAACCCTATATCACCGAATACCACCACATATGTGATCTCCATCTTGACCACCTGCTTCCCCTCCATCCGACCACCATTGTCGTCCAACACCATCGCCAACTCCTACTTTCATCTCATTCACTGTTTTTCATTATTTTCCATTAAATCACTCTTCACCATCTGTTACTACACTCGATCGACCACCGCATGTGATGAACCAAAGAGGCCGCACCCAACTATAGATTCTTGACAAAGAGAGGAAAAAGAGTTCATCGATTCGACGAAAGAAAACTGTTTGTGTTTTAGTGCCACAACCATGGTTTCCAAAGTGTTCCAAATTATATATCTTATCTTGTTAAGTTTTAATTCCAATGCTACTAATGCAATTGATAAGAAATGTGTTATCGATTTTGTTTGTTAGAGCCGTAATATGTTCAAGGTTTTTTTTTGCTGGTGATGATTTTTATTTAGGGGAAATGACACAAACACCCTACGAACTTTCTAAGGTTGGTCCATTTACTCCCTAAAATATTTTTGTTGCTTTTTGAGGGAACAAAGTCATGAGCAATCTGTATTTAGATTCCATGTTACCTAAATTAATAGGTAAATATGCCACATGGAAAGATAAAAATTGTATTTACTAGTGTTAAAAGCCAAGTCAACCAAATAGTCAAATTTAAAAAGCCAAGTCACTTCATAATTCATCAATGAATCTATATGCAACTTCAGAATTGGGCATTTTATCTTCAATTTTGAAAGTTGTTCAAAATTTGTTTATTATTGTAGCTAGGAGCAAGATCTGATGTTTAATTCCATGAATTTTTTCTCATAATTGTTTTGATAACAAAACAAACGCCAAACGACTAATTGAAAGGAGATTTAATGATGCATCTGTCAAGACGACATGAAGTTATGCCCATTCAAAATCACACCAGTGCCTGGAGAGAAACCAAGCATCGAGGACAATTACAAAGGTGAAAGTAAGCAATTTGTTGCTGAAGAGATCTCTTCCATGTTACTCATCAAAATGCACGAGAGTTTTGAAGCTTACGTTGGTTCATCTGTCAAAAACATGGTTATCACCGTAATTGTTTACTTCAACGACTCTCAATGTCTGGTCACTAAATACGCCAGAGCTATCGCCAATTTAAATGTCATGCATATCATCAAAGAACCCATTGCTGCAGCCATCGCGTATAGATTAGACAAGAAAGTAGTAGAGTTGGAGAAAAGAATGTGCTCATTTTCGAACATGGTGGTGTTTTATCCATGGATCTGGTGGATGTTGATTGTTGATGATTCGGTGATGTATATGTGTAAGACAACATGAAGCACTTGGAAGAAGGTGTTTTCGGTATGGATATGGTGGATGTTGATTGTTGATGAGATATGCAGCAGCAAGAGGAGACTAAGATAGATTTGAATGGGAAATGAGAATTTGGGTTGTTTTAAAAGACGATGTGTATAGTGATGGAAGAGAGAAATTCATTGGAGAGTGTGAAAAGGTGTCGATGATGATATAGTGGAGGGAAAACAGGGGAAAATGTGAAGAAAGCAAAAAAGGTGAGTTGGTTATGGAGTTATGATTAAGGTGGGTTTATGGTGGGGAAGAAGATGGATAGTTATGGGTTTATCAGGTGGGGTTGTTCAAAGTCAACATGTGTCAAAGGGGTAACGAAGTGGCCCTTTCACTTTGGCCAAAAGGACGTAATCGACCCGACAAAAACGACTTCGTTCCCTCATAATATCACGAAAATAGTTTAGGGACTAAATAGACCAACCCTAAAAGGTTCATAGGTAGGGGTGTGATAAAAACCCAAAACCGAATAATCAAACCAAACCCAATGGTATTTGGTTTATTTGGTTTGGGTTATTTGGTTTTTGGTTAATTCGGTTTGGTTAACCGAATAACGAAACCTTATTCGATTTGGTTTTGGTTAAATTTTTATTGTTTTGGTTAAAACCAAAAAACCGAATATACTTTTTAATTATATATATTTTTAGTTTATATCTATGAACTAACATTTTATATATAATTTTATAGATTAGTTACTAAGATTTTCATAACTTATGATTTAGTTATTAACCATTATAGATTTATAATTGTTTTATACTTTGTATTAAAAAACAAATTAACCATATGCCAATTAAACGTAAGTTGTTTCTTCCGTCTTCATAAACGACTAAATCTATATTAATTTATCTCTACAACTTTTGTGTCTGCATGGGCTCTTAAAGACAGTACATCGTGAAATATTGAATATAATATGTTATATATTAATGTATTTTCTTTATTTGTTAAAATGTTTTGTAAACTTTTTTTCTTTTAGTTTAATATTTATATTTACATGCGGAATTTTATTCGATTTAACCGGTAAACCGAACCGAATAAACCGTAAACGAATAAACCAAAACCGATTAAACCGAAGATTATTTGGTTTGATTATGGTTAGATTTGAAATATTAAAAAACCGATAAAATCGAACCGATTTAACCAAACCGAATAACACCCCTATTCGTGGGGTATTTATGTCATTTCCCTTTTTTATTTAAGATTTCGTAGAATATAATGTATCAACAGAATGGAGAAGATCAAGCTTATTTTTAAATATATTATTCAAAATTTTATGTCAATGTTTATCGATTTTGTTTTCTATTTCCCAAGTGCAAGTGAGTATGAAGATCCAAAATCTGAAAATCCTCATCAGTTATTGCTTTTCGTTTCTAGGTCTTGTTTATTTATATTTTTTTTATCATATGCAAATAAACGTACAAAATATGCAAATGTGTTTTTTCGATTTCGAAATCTAATTTCATTGCTTTGTTTTGATTATTGCATTCTTTTAAAGCCGACAATGATTATCCTTTAATAGAAACTAGACGAATGCTCGCGCGTTGCGCATAAACACCTATATAGCTGAAATCTTTACAAATGTATGGTTTTTTAATACAACAATAACGTTGTTGTTAAATTTGATATAATAACTCGTATACTAAATTAATATAGTATATTGATTATTTTGAATTATATGATAATATATACATCTATTATAACTGCATAATCTCAATCGTTTGAATGACTTCTACGAGTTACTCATGAATAAAATCAAATATAATATATGGTTTAATGTTATTTATAGTTGTTGTTATTGTTAATTAATTTTTTAAAATTTATTTGCTTAATGTTTTAATTTCTATCATTATAATTATTTAAAACATCAAACATTGTTTTTTGATTTTAAATGTAACAATATAATCATTTATATAGAGGTATTTTTAACTATTTATATTGTAAGTTATTTTAAGCTACTTATTTGAAAACTTTTAAAGATATTTAAAAAATAATTAATAATCTTTATAGGGGTAAATATGCAAATTAACATGTTATAATTAAAATAATATATCTAATTAGTATTAAAAATCCCTATAATCATGGTTAATTCCTTAAATGATGTTTGCCTTTTTCTTTAAAACCGTATATCACAGTATACCACCACATATGTGATCTCCATCTTGAGCGCCTTTTTCCCCTCCATCCGACCACCATTGCCGTCCAACACTATCGCCAACTCCTACTTTCATCTCATTCACTGATTTTCATTATTTTCCATTAAATCACTCTTCACCATCTATTACTATACTCGATCGACCACCGCATGTGATGAACCAAAGAGGTCGCACCCAACTGTAGATTCTTGACGAAGAGAGGAAGAGGAGTTCATCGATTGATTCGACGAAAGAAAATTGTTTGTGTTTTAGTGCCGCAACCATGGTTTCCAAAGTGTTCCAAATTATATATCTTATCCTGTTAAGTTTTAATTCCAATGCTACTAATGCAATTGATAAGAAATGTGTTATCGATTTTGTTTGTTAGAGTCGTAATATGTTCAAGGTTTTTTTTAACTGGTGATGATTTTTATTTAGGGGAAATGACACAAACACCCTACGAACTTTCTAAGGTTGGTCCATTTAGTCCCTAAAATATTTTTTTTTCTTTTTGAGGGAACAAAGTCATGAGCAATCTGTATTTAGAGTCCATGTTACCTAAATTAATAGGTAAAGATGCCACATGGAAAGAAAAAAAATTGTATTTACTAGTGTTAAAAGCCAAGTCAACCAATAAGTCAAACTTAAAAAGCCAAGTCACTTCATAATTCATCGATGAATCTATATGCAACTTCATAATTGGGCGTTTTATCTTCAATTTTGAAAGTTGTTCAAAATTTGTTTATTATTGTATCTAGGAGCTAGATCTGATGTTTAATTCCATGAATTTTTTTCTCATAATTGTTTTGATAACAAAACAGACGCCAAACGACTAATTGGAAGGAGATTTAGTGATGCATCTGTCAAGACGACATGAAGTTATGTCCATTCAAAATCACACCAGTGCCTGGAGAGAAACCAATTAGCGGGGAAAGTTACAAAGGTGAAAGTAAGCAATTTGTTGCTGAAGAAATCTCTTCCATGGTACTCATCAAAATGCACGAGATTTTTGAAGCTTACGTTAGTTCATATGTTAAAAACGTGGTTATCACCGTAACTGCTTACTTCAACGACTCTCAATGTATGGTCACTAAATACGCCAGAGCTATCGCCGATTTAAACGTCATGCATATCATCAACGAACCCATTGCTGCAGCCATCGCGTATAGATTAGACAAGAAAGCAGTATAGTTGGAGAAAAGAATGTGCTCATTTTCGACCATGGTGGTGTTTTATCCATGGATCTGGTGGATGTTGATTGTTGATGATTCAGTGATGTATATGTGCAAGACAACATGAAGCACATGTAAGAAGGTGTTTTCGCTATGGATATGGTGGATGTTGATTGTTGATGAGATATGCAGCAGGAAGAGGAGACTAAGATGGATTTGAATGGGAAATGAGAGTTTGGGTTGTTTTAAAAGACAGTGTGTATAGTGATGGAAGAGAGAAATTGATTGGAGAGTGTGAAAAGGTGTTGATGATGATAAAGTGGAGGGCAGACAGGGGAAAATGTGAAGAAAACAAAAAAGGTGGGTTGGTTATGGAGTTATAATTAAGGTGGGTTTATGGTGGGGGAAGAAGATGGATAGTTATGGGTTTATCAGGTGGGGCTGTTCAAAGTCAACATGTGTTAAAGGGGTAACTAGGTGACCCTTTCACTTTGGCCAAAAGGACGTAATCGACCCTCGACCCGACAAAAATGACTTCGTTCCCTCATAAAGTCACGAAAATAGTTTAGGACTAAATGGACCAACCCTAAAAGGTTCGTAGGGTATTTATGGCATTTTCCCTTTTTATTTAAGATTTCATAGAATATAATGTATCAAAAGAATTGAGAAGATCAAGCTTATTTTTAATTATATTATTCAAAATTTTATGTCAATGTTCATCAGTTTTGTTTTTTATTTCCCAAGTGCAACTAAGTATGAAGATCCAAAATCTGAAAATACTCATTAGTTATTGTTTTCGTTTCTAGGTCTTGTTTATTTATATTTTTTATCATCAGCAAATAAACGCACAAAATATGCAAATGTGTTTTTTCGGTTTCGAAATCTAATTTCATTGCTTTGTTTTGATTATTGCATTCTTCAAAAACCGGCAGTGATTATCCTTTAATAGAAACTAGGCGAATGCCCGCGCGTTGCGCAGAAACGCCTATATAGTTGAAATCTTTACAAATATATGTTTTTTTAAATAGAACAATAACGTTGTTGTTAAATTTGATATAATAACTCGTAAACTAAATTAATATAATATATTGATTATTTTGAATTATATGATAATGTATACATCTATTATAACTGCATAATCTCAATCATTTGAATAACTTCTACCCGCGAGTTACTCATGAATAAAATTAAATATAATATATGGTTTAATGTTATTTATAGTTGTTGTTATTGTTAATTAATTTTAAAAAATTTATTTGCTTAATGTTTTAATTTCTATCATTATAATTGTTTAAAACATCAAACATTGTTTTTTGATTTTAAATGTAACAATATAATCATTTATATAGAGGTATTTTTAACTATTATTATTGTAAGTTATTTTAAGCTACTTATTTGAAAACTTTTAACGATTATAAAAATATATTTAGGAAATATTTTAGTTAAATTGGTATTACAATTTAGTTTTTGCATTTAGCACTACAATTTAATACTTTAAATATTCACAAAATATTCTTTGGGTTTTTTAAGTGGAACTGAAATTTATATTTAAGTTGACACTGTAATGTTATATTTAAATTAACAATTTAAGTATTTTGCGCAAACTGTTCAAAAGTTGTAGCTTTATACTGATAATGGTTTACATACAACAACATATTAAATCTAATAAATTAAGTATAATATGTTAAAAGTTAAAGACATAACTTGATAAGTAGAAGTAAATATATTATTTTAATATTGAAATTTAGTTTATTTATGATTACACTTTAGGTTTGATATTTATTTAACCTTATTAACCATCTTATAATCATTATTTGAAAGACACTACAATTTATCATTTTTAACTATTTACAAAATATTCTTTGGGTTGTTTAAGTTAAGTTAAAATTTATATTCAAGTTGACCCTGTAATGTTATATTTAAATTAATTGTTTGAGTATTTTATACAAATTGTTCAAAAGTTGTAGTTGTAAAAGGATAATGGTTTACATTCAACAATATATTAAAACTAATAAATTATGTATAATATGTTAAAAGTTAAAAAAAACATAACTTTATAAGTAGAAGTAAATATATTCTTTTAATACTGAAATTTAGTTTATATATGATTACACTTTAGGTTTGATATTTATTTAACCTTATTAACCAACTTATAATCATCATTAGAAAGAAATTGAAAAGTCATGGGAGTTTCAAATGAATGTGGTGAAAGGAAAAATGCATAAGAGTTTTAAATGAGTGTGGTGAAAGGAAAAAATAAATGAATCAAATTCTTAAAGAATAAATGAATCAAATTCTTAAAGAATAGATGAAGAAATTATTCTTAAAGAATAAACAAATAAAACCGAAACCGATTAAAACTTATGTTAAAACCGAAACCGATTAAAACTTATGTTAGAATTTAAATATGTCTTAATTGACTAAAATACCCTTACAATGAGATTTATGTGATTATAGAATGCATGTTATTCCATTTTAATAACATAGACCCTCAAATCAAAGTCATTCATTCTTTTCATCCATTGGTCTAGAATTGTGCTTAGGACCACACAATAGATGTCATCCACATTACA